AGGGAAAGACTTACTTAAGAGTTACAGGCAGAAGTAGGTATCACATTGTAAGAGATGGGGAAAAATACTGCCCATTCAGTTTAGTAGGGTATCATTTGCTGTAGGTCGGTCAGTGTTAATAATATACAAATATTTTAAGGTCAGGAAAAAACGTATTCTTCAATCTACTGACAACAATAGCACATGTCCTTTAGTCTTGACCTAGCCATGTCCAAGATACACTAAGGGCAATCAAGAATGAAAAATAGTCTTTTAGATCTTGAAATTAATTCATGGGCGTATTAATCGAACTTCCCACAGTAAAAATAGTTTCTATCCAAACTCTGTTACAAGTTACAGCTAGGTTTCCAGCTGGCGTGTTGAAACAGATTGCTTAGGGGGAGTGTAACAGTCTGCCCCATCTCAAAAAAACAAGGGCTGAAGAGAAGTTAAGTTTAAGTGTGGCGGCCAGCCAAACCTCAGTATCCTGATCAGCGTTCTGTGTTTAATCTTTGGAATCCCAGACTTGCTAAAATACATTGAGAGGTTGTAGCAATTTGCACCAGTACTGCCAACGGATGAAAACAAAACAAAAAAAAACCACACACACACACACACACCCCCACCCAGAAGTTCCTTAAAGGAATCCTTCTGAAACACTTAACGGAAGGGAAAGCTTGCCAATATTTCACCTTCTTTCCAAAATAGCAATCAGAGAATATTTTAGTTTGCCCTACATGGCAGCAGCATTTCAGCATCTTGTAATAAGTAGTAGGTTTTTTAGTTTGAGGAGTCATATCTGAAGTGTTTTAAGATAATCTTTAGAGCATAGGCAGAACTGAAGCACAGCTAGGTTTATCACATGGTTACAGCAGCCTTCGTTTTACACTTCCTGTTTTATGAACTTCCACTTGATAGAAGTGGAGAGTTCATGGAAACAGTAACTGCCAATTATTATTGCTTTATTATAGTATCTTCCAGTAGCATAGCATTAACACACCAACATTCAAAATAAAGTCAACTTCCTCATACCCAAGAGAATATTCTGAACACAGCAAAGAGGAAAAAAGAGATGCAGGTTAACATCCAAGCTACATACAAACAGAACTGCAAGTGCAACACCAAGTGTGAGATGCTAAGGATACAGACTTCTCACAGAAGAACAAAAGAATAAAGTTTATACTGTGGCATTTAACATCTCAGCATAAGTAGAGTTAACCATGGTGTGTAAACATGCTAATTACTTGAAAGACAGAGGCGTTAAAGAATAGGTTTGAACTATACAGAGGAAAGGAATGCTGTGCAGTCTGGGGATGTGAACTTTCCTGCTTCAGTGTACTCCAAATGTCTTTTTAAATGCGCAAACCCATACTCTAAATGTAAAATTGAACATAACAAGTCCTGTTTACTCACTCCAAGTTGCTACTACCTTTAAAATAAGTATGCGACTCCAAGCACACAAAGTTTGAGCATGCTTCCTCTGAGCACATTAATTATTTGAGTTACCTTTAACCCATAAGGTATACCTATTAGACACAACTTACTTGGGAAAAAATAGTACACATTTTATATAGAGGTGTTGTGGAGCAGTAACTATGAATAAAGTCAAGCAATAATCATAACGAAGGCCACCCAGGGAAGCCAGTGAGGAGGAGCTGTATGAGCAGGGGCCACCCGAGAGCCCTGGAGCCAGTGAGCATAGCAGCTCTTTGAGGAGGGCTGCATAAACCCTGGGCCAAGCCACCAGCTGCACAACCTCAACTAACAGGAGTGCACGCAGTGTAGGAAGAGTCAAGAACTTCACTCCAAGGTCGAGTGACACTTCCCTCTGCTTTTGCTTCAAAGTTACTCCAGCTTTTGCTTGGAAGCAGTTAAACGTTAACGAGGAAAAAAGAAGAGTCACGAGGACAGACTTCAGAGTGGAAATGCACTTTTCTCCGTCGAGGCTGAGCACCGGGAGCCGCAGACAGCTGGTTTCACAGGCCCCTCTGCCCCCGCCCGGGGGCTCGCTCCCTGCGCAGGAGCCGCCGCGGAAAGCGCCAGCCCGGCCCGGCCCGGCCCTCACCTGCTATATCCCAGAGCTGCAGCCGCACCAGGGGCTTGCTGTCCCA